TAAAATTAGTGCCAAAACCTTACGGTAAAACAGGACATTTGCATCACCTCAAAATATTTATTAATAACTGTAGTAGTTTTAACATATGTCCAAAAATCTTTAATATCCCTTCCTCCAGGAGGTGGAGCTTACTTCCCCTCCTTTCGAGTGTGGGCTGGTCTTACTTCAAGGAATGGAATAATGCAAGAGAAAGATAGTAACTCTATAGTGGAGAAGACCCCATGTGATCAAGGTTAACATTAGTAATAAATCATGTTGATTTCATGGACTCCCTGATGTGACGCGGTGGGAAGGGCACATCTCTGTAGCATTCTTCTCTAAAACCCATGTTGTTGGGTGCCGTCGAGTCAATTTATGACTTACAGCAACCCTTTGTGACAAAGTAGAACTGTCCTAAAGGGTTTTCTAGGCTATAATCTTTATGAGAGCAGATCACCAGGTCTTTCCCCCACAGAATCTCTGAGTGGGTTGGAACAGCCAACCTTTCAGTTAGCAGCCAGGTGGTTAACTGTTGCACCACCATCCCATTGCCATCAAGTTGATTCCAACTCAGCGACCGTATAGGACAGAGTAGAACTGCCCCATACAGTTTCCAAGGCTGTAATCTTTACAGAAGCAGACTACCACATCTTTCTTATGGAGCAGCTGGTGGGTTCTTAACTGCCAGCCTTATAGTTTGCAGCTGAACACTTAACCACTGTGCTACCAGGGCTCCTTTATACACATGTATGCCTACATACAAACGTATATACCTGCACATATATTTTTGGTTGTTTTTGCTGTTGTTGCAAAATTATATATGCCGTAGCAATTGCAACAGATCCTACTCTTTAGTGACCTTGTTCACCTTCATCAAGCTGTGTACTCTTCACCCTCATTACCTTTCCCATTACCAAAAATAACAAGTGTCTGCTATCTAAGAGAGTGAACCCGCCTTCACTCCACCTCCACCCCATATCCCTGGTAACCACTAATGAACATTAGTTTCTGTATATTTACTTTTTCATGTCATTTCATAAAAGTGAAAATATACAGTATTTTTTTTTTTGTGCTTGACTTATTTCAAGGAGTCAGAATCAACTCAATGGCAACTGACTTGTTTTTTTTGGGTATTTCGCTCAACATAATATCCTCCAGGTTCATCCATGTTCCAGGATGTTTGGCGAGCTCGTTTTCTTTATTGCTGAGTAGTATTCCATTGTATGTATGCACCACATTTTACTTCCTCATTCATCTATTGATGGGCACTTCAGTTGTTTCCATCTTTTTGCTATTGTGAATAGTGCTGTGATGAGCATAGGTGTGCATGTGCCAATGTTAGTTTCTTAGTTGTGATAAATGCACCACGGTTATAAGATGATAACGTTAGGGGGAGCTAGGTGAAGGGTAAATGCGAATTCTCTGTACTGTTTTTGCAACACTTCTGCAAGTCTAAAATTAGTTCAAAATATAAAGTTAAAAAAAAAAAAAAAAGGGAAAGGAAAAGGGCCAACATATAAGCCTGTTAAAGCCTCACCTTTTGATTCTTGAATTTTGAGGAACACTGTCCTCCAGGGTTTATTTCCCTACATTTTTGTTTTTTTCCTACTATTTTCTGATTACAAAAGCAATACAGAAAATGTGAGGGAAAACTGAAAAGCGTAAAATAAAAAACAACCTACTTTCTCAACTTACGGAGGCAGCCACTGCTCACGTTGTGGTGTATATCTTTTCAATATTTTCTTATGTGCATGTATATGACTTTGTAATAAAAATGGGGTCATTTTTAAAAGAGAAAGAACGAGCTTTGGATACAGACAGAATTAGGTTTCCATCCTGATTCTACCTCTTACTTGCTCCATGATTCTGTGCCAGTTAACCTCTTTGAACTTGTCTTTACTCATTCATGCAACAATTTGTTCTTCAAATATTTGTTGAGTACGTATGATGTGCTGAGTGATGTTCTAGGCTCTGAGGATACAGCAGTGAACAAAGCAAAAACCCTTCTCTCCTGTAGCTTGCATTCTGACTGGGGAAGATAGTACACAGATACATAATATGTTGGGTTGATATAAGTGTCAAGGAGAAGAGTAAAGCTGGGTAAAGGGATAGAGAATGATGGTCAGAGAAATGGGTGTGCTACTTTGTATAGGGTTATCTGATAAGGTGACATTTAAGCAGAAATCTGAATGAAGTGAGGGAGCTGATGCCAAAGGGGATAGCCTTCCAGATAAAGGGAGCAGCAGGTGCAAATACCCCAAGGTGAGAGCATGCTTCTTGTGTTCAAGGAACAGCAAAGATGGAGTGAAGTGAGCAAGAAAGAAGTGGTAGGGTATTAGATGAGATAAATGGAGAGCCAGATCAAAGAAGGGTCTTGTAGGCCAGGGAAGTACTTGATGTTTTACTCAGAGGTTGAGCAGAGAGCTGATGTGATCTAATTTATGTGTTTAGGTATAGATTAGATGGTAGGGAGGGGTGGATAGGGTCATATTAGGGAGACCTTTTAGAAGGCTCTTGGAATTGTCCAGGCAAGAGATTTTGGTGGATTATACTAGGGTTTTACTAGTGGGAGCAATGAGGAGTAATTTGATTCCAGATACATTTTCAAAAGAGAGCTGACAGCGTTTTTAATAGGTTAGATATGTGAGAGGAAAAGAAGAATCAAGAATGATTGCTAGGTTTTTGACCTAACCATTAGGAAGAAAGAGTTGTCATTTATTGAGATAGAGAATATTGGAGGGCATGTTTGGAGTAGAAATCAAGTGTTTGTTTTTGGACATGACGTGTTTGCGATGTGTGTTTAGCATCTGAGTAGAAATGTTGAACAGGCAGTTGGATATATTATTCTGGAGTTCAGGGGAAAGTCGAAGGCTGGAGATAAAAATCTATGATTCATCAGCATATAGATAGTATTTTAATATTTGAGATAACATGAGATCATCTAGGGAAGGTAAGGTATAATGAGAAGAGGTCTCTGAGAATTGGACCGTGGGGCACGCCAGCATTTTGGAAGTTGGTCAATGAGGAGAATTCAATAGGAAGACTGCAGAAGGAGAGCCAAGTGAAGGGTTCTGGAAGCCAAGCAAAGAAATTGTTTCAAAAAGTAGAACAGGATTGCTGTCACATGCTCCTACTAAGTTAAGTAAGATGAGGACCAAGAAATGACCTCTAGATTTGACAACATGGAGAGCTTAGGTGAACTTGGGAAAAAAAGTTTTACTGGTGTGGTGGGTCTGAAAGACTGGAGTAAATTCTGGAGTGGCTTAGGCAGCAGAGATAGCTGTTTCAAGTTTTGCTATAAAAAGGAACGTAAGTGGAGCTATAGCTGGAGGAAGATGTTATTTGCATATTAGCATTGACCATGGAGACATTTTGATAGGGTGGCATCATTTTAATAAGAACATTTTATATATGTAGGAGGCATTGTAGTCCACTGTTTAAGAATTAGATGTTGGAATCAGACCAGGATTTAAATTTGGACCCACTTGTTTTATAGTCAGAGCCCTGGTGGCACAGTGGTTAAGAGCTATGGCTGCTAATCAAAAGGTTGGCAGTTCGAATCCACCAGCTGCTCCTTGGAAACTCTATGGGGCATTTCTACTCTGTCCTGTAGGGTCACTCTGAGTCGGAATTCACACAGCAGCAGTGGGTTTGGTTTTCTCGGTTTTATAAATATCTTACCTGAAAGAAAAGTTACTCAAATTTTCTGAATCTTAGTTTCGTTCTTGTAATTAATAGTGAAAGTGATATAAAGATTAAATGAGATCATGTTTCTAAAGAGCGTGATATTCAGCCGTTATAATACTTTTTGGTACCTTTCTCTGTGGGTCTTGGAAGGAATACAACAATTTGGCCTGTGATAATTGTAACAGTGGGATGAATAATCTGCATTCTAATATTATGGTAGATTTCTGTTTAATCCACTAGTGACATATATATATATATGTATATAAAACAGTGTATTTTCTCTTCCTTTTGTTAATCCAGGAGAAAGGTAATAACTTGGCTTAAATTTGACAAGAAACAGTTTTTGGGGAGTGTAGTACTGAGCAGTATGGGTAGGTGGAGGAGAGAGGATTTAACTTTATCCACCAGAAGGCAGTAATTCAACAGCGACTTAAACATATACTGCCATTTCCCACTGTAGTGTTTTGATTTCCCCTGGATTGACTTGGTGAACATTAAGTGCTCGGTCTTGAAGCATTTCGTATTGGTTGTGGGTTGAGTTGGTTAATTATAATAGACAAGTTACTTATTGTTCTCATTCTTCAGTCAGGCTTTATTTTTATTGGCTGTCTACATAGATTTAATACATTTTTACAGCTGCCAAAAATAAATGTAGTAGGTGGTGTCCTGGGGCTACGGCTAGTCCTACTGGCTCTGATCAAACACTTTACCTTTGGCAGGCCCTTTAATGCTACTTCTGAATTCTCACGCTTGGCTTGTTTACTTAAGTTCTTAGATGTTCTGAATAATAAAAATGCTGGGCAGACTCATTTCAGTATAACGCTTTGGCTAAGCCTAAATCTATAGGGTGGTTTAAATATTTGTGTTCTTAAAACCAGTCTTAAAAACAACAAAAAGGGTGAATTTTTTTTATACTTTATTTATTATTAAGTCTAATTTTCAGTCAGTGACCCTAATCCAGTGAGGTTAAATAAGTTTCTGAACTTCCTACTACCTGTTAATGAGTAGCAAAGACTGTGTAATTAAGTTAATTAAGAAAAGGCCCAAATTCGTAATCCATGAAGCATGGTAAGTAATTGAGCTGTGTATAGCTTCCATTTGCCCACTCTCCTCTCTGGGCAAGTAGTTTTCTCTGATCATGAAGATTTAGACCAAGGGTAAATTTTTTAGGTCTCCTGGAATTAGTTTTTTTGGGAAGATTAAGGACATGGACAGAAATTACTTTCTTCTCACACAGTAACAGATGAGATGGGGGCTGTCAGCTTTCTTTTTATGATGATAGATCATTTTGGTTACACTGTTTTCATCTTAGATGTTTTTCCGATCTGTTTCAGAGTCTGATAAGGAAGACAGACCACTCAGTACTGTCATACCCAAGGAAGTGACCCCAGCCCTGTGCTCACTAATGAACAGCTATGGTAGCCTATCAGGGTCAGAGAGTGAGCCTGAAGGTAAGTCATGGCGTACACTGTTACAGTTATGTTTCTTTTGTTACTTTTTACCTTTGTGGCATACTGTGCATCACTAACATCCAGGATGCACATTCTTTATTTGATTTTCAAATTCCTTTTTCATTTGATACAGAAATAAAGTTCACATAGGATAAAGGCAAGCTGGAGAAATGGGGAAATGTGTTGCTACTCTGTGAGGAAAAGGCAAAAATAATACAATATACAGAAAAGACTAGGAAGAAGAGAAAATATCCACTAATGGACTGAAAGAAAGAAAATACTAAAAGATATAGCAAAGGAAGTTAGTTTCTTCTCTCTGCTCCCAAGAACCTTTGTCTTAACATGTTTAACATGTTTCGTAGGTAAAGCGAAGTTATTTTAAATATATATCGTGCATTGCTGTTTATAGAACATATTTACATAAGTTTTCTCATTTAGAGAACGTACAGCCCTATACTTGTGGTTGTGTTAGCCCGTGTGTTTTAAAGATTGGACAAAATCCTTTTAAGAGTCTTTCTGAGAATTCAGCAACGCTCAGGATACATGTCTTACTTATAAAGATAATGTCACAGATGATAATGTGTGGGGCTTTATTTTAAAGTGTGTTGTTAGGATAAACCAGCTTAATCTCTTTTAGGAACACCTAAAAGAACCCCAAGCAGGCTACTGATCTGATGCAGCGTGGCAATTCTTAATCCAAAGCTCTTACGGGCTCAATACATTATAATACGTTTATCAGTAATCCAGCATGTGCTTAATGAATAAATCTTTATCCTCCTATCGTGGAAATCTGGCTCTACATTGCTAATTTTATTTAGGCTTGACCAACCATGAGAGAATTCATGTGTCTGTATCTTAGGACAAGAAGCATAATCAAAGTAGGAGCTGTAAAGAGGGTAAAAATACAGGGTTTAAAAGTATATGTGTAGAATGAAGGGAAGACTTGAATGTGATTGGATGAAGATGGCAGCACTTTTAGTGTTGACTAGAGATCATCAATGTTTGTGTAGTTGGGGGATGCTGACTGAGGAAGAATTGGGCTTTAATATGAAAAATGTTTAAAGCTATCAGTAACGTGGGGTCGCTGTGAGTCAGAATTTGACTTGACGGCAATGGGTTGGTTTTTTTGGGTTTGTTAACATGGGGATTTTTTTTTTTTTATGGGGGATGGCTTACTGTAGTAGCTCGTTAAAAGCTACTTGAATTTTGAAATATAAACTACTTTGGCTTTATCAGAGTGTTCCTTAACAGATGGTTGCCTCCTGTTTTAAATTTATTTTTTAAGAAAAACAGTATTTATTTCTCATTCTTGTTTCCAATATACTGATATGATGGTGGATTTATTCTTTAAACACATACTAAATTTCCTGCTTATCAGCTGTATTTATAACAGGTGATAGTAAAGAAAGCTATTGCTAGATTACTGAATCCCATAAAAGCATCTTATACTAAGTTTTCTTCTCTCTCAAGATGAAATCTTTAATAACTTTTTATACTTACATCTTTATTTGGAGACTTTCACTGTTTTTCAATAAGAAGAAAGAAAGAAAACTGGAAGGGGTCTTTGAGGTCACACTCTTTCATTTTATAGAACCTTAAGCGTAAAGAGGATAAGTTTGCAAAGCTAGTATGTTGCAGAGCTCATGTAAAACCTAGGTTTAAGGGCTTAAAAGTCCTAAGAACCCAATTATATTGCCTTCCATTATAGTCTTTCTCTACGTGGTATGTGCTTTCTTGCTGCACAGTAATGAATAATCTTATCTTTTCTTACAGGTAACAGAATATTAACTATAAAAAGATATTTGATTTTGTATATTTTGACATATTGCTTAAGATGCCCTGCTTTAAGGAGGAAGCTCTTGCTCCACATTCATAAGTCTTAAGAGTTATTTTATGTAGCAGATTTCTAGCTTTCAGTGTTAATTTTGGGCTATAGGATGAGATATTGACACATGGAAGCTTGGAATAAATAAACCAAGGAAACAAAGTGGGCTTCTCTGATCCGTGAAATAGCATCTAGAAGACTGCATAGTTAAGTAGACCCTAAATGGAGATGAGTAGTCTGATTCTTTCTAACAGATTTTAACTACTGTGTCTACATAGTTAGGTTCTGTCTCAACATAAAAGTGTATTTAAAAAAAAACAACCCATTGCCATTAAGTTGATTCCAACTCACAGCGACCCTGCAGAGCAGAGTAGAACTGCCCCACAGGATTTCCAAGGAGCACCTGGTGGATTTGAACTACCACCCATTTGGTTAGCAGCCAAGCTCTTAACCACTGCGTCACCAGGGCTCCTGAAAGTGTATTGTTGTTATTGTTAGGTGCCATCCAGTTGGTTCCGACTCATAGCGACCCTTTGTACAACAGAGCAAAACACTGCCAGGTCCTGTACTATCCTCACAATTGTTATGCTTGAGCCAGTTGTTGCAGCCACTCTGTCAGTCCAGCTTGTTGAGAGTCTTCCTCTATTTCGCTGACCCTCTGCTTTACCAAGCGTGATGTCCTTCTCCAGGGACTGATCCCTGCTGATAACATGTCCAAAATATGTGTAGAGGGCCTTAAAACGTTAGTAGTGCTTTTCCAGAAAGAGTTTTAGACAAGGAAAGGGTCCCCCAGAAAGACTAAAACAAAGGTAGAAGTTTTGTTTAGTTCCGGAGCTCTCAGAATCATTGACATATAAATAGGAAAGAAAAATTTAATGAGTAGTGTTTTCATATGGGCTGGTTTGGTATCTGTCATGAATTTTACATGTTAGCATTTTTATACCATATTAGAATTTGAATATAGTTTCACAACTCCAAAATAATTAAAATGTTTCTTCAAACTGGTTTGGCTATGATTGGGACATCTCCAGATTGAAAACTGATTCAAAAGGCTGCAGACCAAAAAGAGTGACAAAGATCTGAATGAACCAAAAGAGAATATTTAAAAATGTGTTGAATTGATGAACATTAGATTAAAATACGATAGTAAACTGAGAAATGTAAACTCCAAGAAAGAGAAAAATATAAGCCGTCCCAGTTCCGTATTCCTTATCAGAAAATTGACGATATAAGCTCTGATTCATCTGGTGTATGTGTGCCTGGATTGAACTGGGATGATCAGTACTTGATGAGGAAGGGTCGCTATGAGTCAGAATTGACTCGACGGCGGTGGGTTTGGTTTTTTTGTTTTTAGTGCCCTGGTTTTTCTTTTTGCCTTTAATTATTATCCCCATAGTTTTGAACTCTATAATGCACTTTGAGAATTCTTAGCTTCAGTCCTTGTCTTTTTCTTCTTTTTCTTTTCCCCATCACTTTGAAGGCACATCATCACCACTATCATAGCAAACAGTTACATGGTGCTTACTGTGTGGCAAGCACTGTTTTAATTATCACAACAACGTCATGAAGTAGATACCATTGTTTATCCCCACTTTACAGATGAGGAAATTTAGGCAGACATAAGTAGCTTGCCTGAAGATCACACACTTAGTAAGTGATGGTACTAGGACTTGAACCTAACAATCTTGCATCAGAGTCTGTGCTTCTAATATTAGCTATAAAACCAAACCCAACCCACTGCTGTTGAGTCGACTCTGACTCATAACAACCCTATTGGACAGAGCAGAACTGCCCCATAGGGTTTCCAAGAAGCGGCTGGTGGATTCAAACTGCCAACCTTTTGGTTAATAGCCGAGCTTTTAACCACTGTGCCATGCGTGTCCTTTCAAGTGTAATTTTCACATTAAGTCCTGAGTGTGAGTGTTGAGAGTTTTGAGGGCTATGATTAAACTCCCACAGTCTTATCTATGTAATTGAACCTGGTCTCTCAACAATTTAAGGCTCTCAATATATCTTTATATCACATCAGCCTGTAATTGATGGTAATCAAATATGCAGAATAACCATTATGGAGAGGCGGGGTATTATGTCCTTCACAGGGGTTACTTTCTGTAGCTCTTTGTGAGTGTGTATGTGAATTTGAAAAGCATGTGTATTGGGTCAACTGTTCTTTGTCAATTTGAGCTGATTGCTAGTGTTGTCCAGGTCTTATATATCCCTACTCATTTTCTGTCTAATGGTTCTTAAACTACTGAGAGTGGAGTTTCAAGTTTCCAATCATAATAGTGAATTTATTTATTTCTCCTTTCAGTTCTGTCAGTTTTTGCATATGTGTGGAAGCTGTTATTAAATGTATTGTTTTTGTCTGCTCGATAAATTGACATCTTTATCATTAGAACTGTCCCTTTTTTGTCCCTGGTAATATTCCCTGTTCTGATGTTTACTTTGTCTGATCTGATATTGATATAGCCATTCCAGCTTTCTTATGGTTAGTGTTTTTGCATGATATCTTTTTTCATCTTTTTACATTTAACCTGTGATTTTACACAGGCAGTCCTTGCTTTCCAAGATTCCTTGGTAACTTAGATTTAGTCTCAGTTCAAACCATGCAAAGCAAGAATTAGCTCCATTGAAAGTTGGTTTTTGTAGACATCTTGCTCTTATTATTCATCTGACCATCTCTACCTTTTAATTGGGATATTTAGACCATTTACATTTAATGTAATTACTGATATGATTGGGTTTAATTTTAACATCTTACTACTTTTTTTTTGTTTGGCTATCCCATTTTTCTTCTTTTCTGCTTCCTTTTGGATTTATCCTGTATTCAGGAAAACAAATATTTGTTATATACCATTTGTTTTATTTTTAGAAGTTGCTCTAGGATATATAGTATGTAATTTTAACATCACAGCCTAACTTCACATGATATTTTACCATTTCACATGTAATTTAAGAACCTTGCAGCAATATACTTATATTTTCTTTCTCCCCTTTTTTATGCTGTTGTTATCATAGGTTTTATTTCTACTGATGTTATAAATCCCACATGCAGTTATTATTTTGGTTTAAATACTAATCTTTTTTAAAAAATTTAAATGAGGAAAAATGTCTTTTGTATTTATTCACATATTTACTGTTTCCAGCAATCTTCGTTCCTTTGTGTAGATCCAAGTTTTTATCTGGTATTATTTCCTTTGTAGGGATTACTTTCTGTAGCTCTTTGTGGTGGTCTCCTCAATTATTGGCAGTTATAGCTCCCAATTTGAAAAGCATTGGAACATATTGTAAATGCCTTGTAAAATCATACATAATTTTAAGTTATAAAGTAGCCAATATTATGGCCAGGGGGATTAACAATGGGATTTTTTGTTGTTATTTTTGGAAGTTTTACTTGTTTTGTTATTTTTGTATTTATATTTCATCACACTTAGAAACTCCCATCAAGACTGAAGCAGAAGTTCTGACAGAAAACCAGGTTCTTCTAAACAGTACTCATGAGAGTCCAAGTCACCATGTTCAAGAGACTATTAGAAATTTCTCTGAAGCCAAGCCTAAGAGCCCAAGGAAAAATTTTAAAAAGACAAATCCTAAGCAGAAAAAATATCACAACTATCAAACATTATTTAAACCAAGAACACACCATCCAAATCTCCTGGAAATGGTAAATGATTTTTCTTTACATTCTAATCTTTGTGTTCTCACATCGTAAAGATGGAGCCACTGGATTTTTTCCATGTGTGTATGTGTGTGTGTTTTGAGGTTTCTAGAGACACATGTTCCTTGAAGACTCATCTGTGTATCTTAGTTTTGAAGCTGTGTTTGGCATGTAGCTGGTGTTCAGTAAATGTGGAATAACTACATTTCTGTTAAAAACTGCTTAAAATAAAAGAATCTAGATTTGACTGATTGGTAAAGAAATATTGAGGTTTTTAAGTTTTTCTTGAAAACACAGTTTAATAAAATGGCAGACTAAAGGGAGAAAGTGGTTTTTAGTACAGATATCTGTTCAGAAATACAAAGTAATGAGAAGAAAAGGGCTGAGGTTTCTTGATTCTCATTTCTTCCCTTTGGGGATTCTCTTCATTCTTTCTCTTTCTACACCTTTATTATCCCCAATCTCTGTGATCAAGTATTCGATCAGAATATTTGTTTATATTTGTGCATTGTTGGCTTTATTCTCAGCATGATGTGCTCAAAAAAGTAGTCTCTTTTCCTCAAATAATAAAGAGGAAGTGGTGCATTGTTAGATTTTAAGTAATGGATATGAGGCTGTTCAAAGATTTTCATATCTAAGGGTGATAAGAATATTCCATAATTTTTAATGAAGTTGCAAAAGTAATCTGTTGACATTCTGTGAAAGTCTATTTTTGCCTCATTGGGTAAGTGCTTTATGCTGTAGCTAAGGTGTTCTGTATGGCTATACTCTATGAGGTGTTAAGTGTAGACACAGTCACTTTATTAAAATGGAGCTGAAGTATACCCTCTGTTTTGTAATTTTCTGTTCTATATAAAATGCACTTTTTAAATGTTTATCATACTTCATAATTAAGTCATCTTTTCCCTAAAAGTTCCTAGGCTATATATTCAAAGTACATTAATGACATCAGAAAACAAATTGAGTAGTTGCTTTATCCTTTCAGGCAAATATATGATTCCCTGGTCATGTACTTACTCTACACTCCAGGGATTTTTAGCTTTCTTTCGATTAAAGTAAGCACAGAAATGGGAAGTTAGGAAAGTCAAAGACTGTTGAGGTTTTTCTTTTTTACTATTAATTTCATCATTACTATATGTGATATATATTGTTTATCTTACCAATTTCTAGACTGTTGATAGATTTAGGTTTAGAGGTCCTTTTTAACATGATGATTTTTAGATTAAAGAATTTCAGACTCGTAAGCCTTTTTTTTTTCTACCATTTGTTAGGTACCCCTAGAAGAACCCCAAATGTGAGCATGTGTGCTCTTTAAAAAGCTAGATAATCTTTATATAAGTTAAAAGGAAATGTCCTTCCATTGTTTTTTAGCAAAATAATTAGTAAATATACATCTCTTATTCGTCTATGTTCTTTATATGGAGAAAACACACTTAATATTTTAGGTTGTATTTCTCAGCTAGATTTTATTTACCAACTGATCTTTTTATTATTTTTTTAGCTTTTGGCTCCGGACATCAGACATGAAAGAAATGTGATTTTGCAGTGTGTTCGGTACATCATCAAGAAAGACTTTTTTGGACTTACTGCTAATTCTGTGAAAACTGAGGATGTTCCAGCCTGCATAACTGAAGCATGTAAAGGAGTACCATCCTGAAGTTAGTGGAGGAAAACCTTTTTTTTAAAAAAGAAAAAAACCTGCTTTAGTAATTGTAAGCGTCTTAAGATATCATGTTGGATTTTTAAGTCATTTCTTTGAACCAGTGCTAATAAATACATAACTGATTCTTAAGGCTGTGTCTTTATTGTTGGGATCATACATAGTATTTGCAGGCAGAATTTTACTTATTTGTATTTATTTGTATGTATTGCTATTATGTAAGGAAGTCTGCTATTGGGCAAGTAAAGAATTTGAAGATACTGGTTTAGTAGGAAAGAATGAAGCATTTGAAATGTTTAATTCAGCCAAGCAAAGCTGGAAGTTGGGTGGAGAAATACAGACAGGTGTTTTGTTTTTAATGCAGGAAAGAAAGAGTTGTTCTTTAACTGTAGCAATGAAGGATATTAAAATAAAAATAAAACAGAGATCAAATTTATACTATTAAAAGGTCTTGAAATTTAAATTTTCCCTGTTTATTTCAAAGAATATGTTTAAATGCACCTACCTACTAGCATGACCTAAAGTAGCTCAAATATTGAACATTTGATATATTAATGTAGATATGGCCTCTTGTGTATGTTTAAACTCAGTTAAAGTCCTTTTTTTTTTTAATTGTACCTTTATTCCCACTGTGAAAAAGTACAGAAAGTATAGTACTTAATAAGGGTCAACTCATTTCTTACAGCAGAAACTGTGGTTTATGAAATAATGTTAGTTCAGTTTTAAGGTTTAATAAAAATTCATCCTCTGAAGGTAGTTACTGAACCTTTTTTAAATTTTTTAAATAAGCAAAAACTACTCACATCTTTTTGTGTCCTGTAATACCAGGGATTCTAATCTTATGTTCTAGTCACTTGTGCTAGCTAGAGCTAGAGCTCTGTTCTTTTGACATACAACTAAAAGGGACTAGGTTTTAAAAAAATTATCTGTTGTTATAGTTGAAAAATTAATTTTATCTGACACTGTGACTATGAAGCTGATGAATGTTGCCTACAAGAAGAAAGGCAAGAAAACTGCTAGCAGCTATGAAGAAAAACCTCTCACTCCTCTACTAGCAAGATCCAGAATCCTGGAACCCCTGGCACAAAATACCAGTGACGTCACAGATCTGAGATTAAAATTCACATCTACGTCGGTGTTTCCGAGCCTTGTAACCACCATACAGACCTTTTTTAAAATTCTCTTCCTCCCTACTCCTCCAGTGAGCCCCATATTTTGGAAAATTGCCCACCACATTAATTAATTCAGTTCATATAGCATTGCTGAGTGCTTACTTCTGTGCCACCACAGTGGTGGATGAATGAGGCCAGGCCTGACATCAAGGAAGTCTGTTTTATATTTATATTAATCAAAGATGTAACTTCCAACCCAATTCATCTCCTTAGGATGAAGTAAATAATGTTACTAAGTTGATATTCTAAAATAAGACTTTAGGAGTCTGCAGTTTTATCACTAGGTAGTATACAGATTCCATGAGCTTAAAATACAGAAATGAATTCACAGACCCCTGAGCTACTTTCAAGGACCACCATGCCTCCAGGGACCACTGCCCTAAGGGGTATTGGGAAAACAGTTTTATTTTCCATCTTTTTTATTTTCTAATAAATGAACTTAGGACTGTGAATATTCTGAGTACTGCTTTGGCTATGTCTGAACGTCATTTCTGGTGGGTAATTTCAGATCCAATTGCCTTTATTTAACCCCAAAATTATTTTAAAACGCCTTTAAATTTTCCAAGTAGATAGAATGTAGCCTATCTTAGTGTCCATTTAATCAATTGATTTCTGAGATATTAAAACACTAAATGAATGCTGGTAAGTTGTGCCTTTTATCACTGTGAAATACTCTTCTTTGTCCTTAATACTTTCTGCATTGACTTCTATTTTCTCCAATTAACATAGTCAAAACAGCTTTTAGGGGGTTCAGTCTAAGAGTCCCTCGGGAACTTAATCCATTCATATTAATTGAAATTGCTGAAATGTTTGGACATCTTATTTTATATTTTCTATGTACTGTGCTTTCTTATCTTTTGTTTCAGCATTTTATTGCCTTGACTGAATGGTTCCCCCCTTGTTTTCTCAGGATTTAGAAATAATTAAACCTATTGCTGTTAAACACACTCTGTATTTAACCAGTAGCCGTATCTTCTACCCATCTCCCAAGTAAGAGATAACATTAGCATTCTTTCACTTCCCTGCCTCCACCTCTTCTCATGGTATAACCATGTAGGATTTGGGTTTCAGATTAATCTCTGTTGTCTTGGTGTGGTTTTTAAATGTGTTTATTTTTACATTGTACATAGTTATTTAGACAACTGAGTTTTACTGTTTTTACTGCTTTTTCTTGCATCTCAGGATTAGTATTTTTGTTGTTGTTTTGATTTACTGCAGCATATCTTCAAGTAACTGAATGTTGACTTTCTCTATTTGAATTTTTTTTTAGTTGAGTTTAAGATTTTAGGTTCAAAATCATTGCCCTTCGGAACTTTGAAGCTGTAACATGATTGTTTTTTAGTGTTCAGTGTGTTGCTTATTAAGAGACACAAATCTGATTCTCTTTGTTTCTCTGTCTCTTGTTTTTTAAATTGGTAAATAACCTGCTTTTTTTCCCCCCCTCATAAAAGAACTCAGGATTTTATTTTTATGCTTGGAGTCCTAAAATGTCACCAGTATTTGTCTAGGTATGTGGGACATTGTCATTCATTCTTCTTAGCGCATGGTTCTTTCACTCTGAACAATTGTTCCATTCTAGAACTAAGGGAAATATATAAAATTATTTGTTTGATTTTTTTCTCTCCATTTTATCTACTTTATTTTTCTGGAACTCTTATTGGTTGACTGTGAGACTTCCTGACTCAGTCCTCTGTCATTTAATTTTATATTTTGTCTTGGTCTTTTTGCTCTGTTCTGAAAGATTTCTCAAGTGTTATCTTTCATGTCACTAATTCAGTCTTCAGGCATGTCCATTACATTATTATTCAATTTGTCTATTTCATTTTAAGGAACCTGGGTAGTGCAAGCAGTTTGCCGTAGGCTGCTAACCGAAAGGTTGGTGGTTCAAATCCACGCAGTGGCTCTGCAGAAGAAAAGGCCTGGTGGTCTGCTTCTGTAAAAATTACAGCCAAGAAAACCCTATAGAGTAGTTCTACTCTATAACACATGGGGTCACCATGAGTCAGAACTGACTCACAGCAACCAACAACTTTTCATTTTAAATTTAGTAATTATTTTTTAAAATATTCAAGATTGCTTTCTTGCTCTAATTGCTTTTCTCATAGATGTAGTATTCTTAAATTTCTGAGGATACTAGTTAGAATTTTTAACATTATTTTCTGTTCCTTGAATTATTTCTGTTTCCTCCATTGATTGTCAGTTGTTCTGTTTGTTCAACTCACTAATTATCTTTTCTGCTATCTCTTGTCTTTTAATGTCCACTCTTAGGTACGAAAGAGGAATTGGTGTAGATTTTTTCTGCATTTGTATAAGCCTTTTGTCTTAGCCATCTAGTGCTGCCATAACAGAAATACCACAAGTGGATGGTTTTAACAAAGAGAAGTTTATTTCCTTACAGTAAAGTAGGCTGAAAGTCCAAATTCAGGGCATCAGCTCCAGGGGAAGGCTTTCTCTCTCTCGGCCTTCTCATCAGTGTTCCCATGGACGAGGAGCTCCTCTGCACAGGGACTCCGGATCCAAAGGACGCACTCTGCTCCTGGCACTGCTTTCTTGATGGTATGATGTCCCCAATTCTCTGCTTGCTTCCCTTTCCTTTTATCTCTTGAGAGAGAAAAGGTGGTACAGGCCACACCCCAGGGAAACTCCCTTTACATTGGATCAGGGATGTGACCTGGGTAAAGGTGGTGTTACAATCCCACCCTAACCCTCTTTAACATAAAATTACAATCACAAAATGGAGGCCAACCACACAATTCTGGGAATCATGGCCCAGCCAAACTGATGCACATATTTTTGAGGGGACATAATTCAAACCATGACATCTTTTTTCTCCAAAAGGCATTACCTTTAGTGAGAGGGACTTTGTAAACTGACAGACTTCATTTTAGAGTACATTGATGGGGAGCAGGCAGAAGATCACTCCCATCTCTGCCAAAACAGAAAGGGTGTCATTCTCAGAAAAGGCATTTGACAAAGTCCAACACCCATTCCTGATAAAAACTCTCAATAAAATAGGTATAGAGGGGAAATTTCTCAACATAATAAAGGGCATCTATGCAAAACCAACAGCCAACATAATTCTTAATGGAGAGAGGCTAAAAGCGTTCGCCTTGAGAACAGGAACAAGACAAGGATGCCCTTTATTACCACTCCTATTTAACATTGTGCTGGAAGTCCTAGCAAGAGCAATAAGGCAAGAAAAATCAATAAAGGGCATCCAAATTGGTAATGAAGAAGTAAACTGTCCCTGTTTGCAGATGATATGATACTATACATGGAAAACCCTAAAGACTGCACGAGAAAACTACTGGAACTAATACATTCAGCAGAGTAGCAGGATACAAGATAAACATTCAAAAATCAGTTGGATTCCTATACACTAATAAAGAGAACAATGAAAAGGAAATCAGGAAAACAATACGATTTATAATAGCCCCTAAAAAAATAAAATACTTAGGAATCTAACCAGGGATGTAAAAGACCTATACAAAGAAAACTACAAAACACTACTACAAGAAACCCAAAAGGATCTACATAAATAGGAAAACCATGCTCATGGATAGGTAGATTCAACATTGTGAAAATGATAATTCTACCCAAAGCAATTTACAAATACAATGCAATCCTGATCCAGATACCAACAACATTCTTTGAAGAGATGGAAAAACTAATCATTAACTTTTTATGGAAAGGGAAGAAGCCCTGGATAAGGCATTATTGAAGAAGAGGAATAATGTAGGAGAACTCACACTACCTGACCTCAGAACCTACTATACAGCTACAGTAGTCTAAACAGCCAGGTACTGGTGCAATGACAGATACATTGACCAATGGAACAGAATTGAGAACCCAGATGTAAATCCATCCACCTACAGTCACCTTATCTTTGACAAGGGCCCAAAGTCCATCAAATGGGGAACAGTCTTTTTAACAAATGGTGCTGGCAAAACTGGATGTCCATCTGCAAAAAAATGAAACGGGACCCATAACTCACACCATATACAAAAACTAATTCAATCAATACAATCAAATACTTTGAGAGAGTAGCAGGGTTGCAGGGTCTGGGGACCATGCTTTCAGGGGACATCTATGTCAATTGGCATAACAAAGCTTATTAAGAAAATGTTCTGAATCCTACTTTGATGAGTGGCGTCTGGGGTCTTAAAAGCTTGCAAGCAGCCATCTAAGATGCATCAATTGGTCCCAACCACTTGGAATAAAGGAGAACGAAGAACACCAAAGACACAAGGAATGTATTGGCCCAAGAGACAGA